CTGAGGAGGTGGAGTGACGTTCCCCCCAGTCCTTGGCAAGATTGCGCTGAGGACGGTGGGGTTCTGAGCCAGACTGACGATGATGACCGACAACGCGGCCTGGACCTGCGGATCCACAGGCGGAGAAGCCGCGGCCATAGGCTGGACCGGGGCGTGGTCTGTCTTCTCCACGCGCTTCTTATCTAGGCCGATGCGGGCATCAGGGGCGCCGCCGTTGAGCTGGTTGCGTAGGTCCGTTGTGAGGTTGATGGCCTCCTGGAAAACGTCCCTTCCGCCGACCTGGTCGGCCGTGGCGTCCTCCTCATGCTCCCCGGTCCCCTGATCCTCAGGGATGGCCTTGCTGACGAGGTTGCGGTTTGACTTGGTTCTTCCCATGATCAGTGGTTAGCTGTGCTTGGTAGCGACGAAGGGTGCTAACTTGATTGTTCTAACTCTCAACGAGAGCACCAAATGATAGTGTATATATCTAGAGAGAAGTGAGAGCTAGAGAGAGAAGTGCAAGTAAATGCTTCAATAGAATGATTTTGTAACCCCTATAACTACCTCGAGAGGAAGTATTTATAGGAAAAATACGGGCTGGGCTCCCAAGCCTTGGGCTTGGGAGGCCCATTTACAACTGGACCGCTATTGGGCCGAATACAAAGTAAATGATGGGATATATAAATGAATAAGTGTAAAGTCTAGTTCTGCGAGTCCTCCGTGGCCGACGAGGGCACGGCCGATGAGGACACCCTGGTTCCCTAGCTTCAGGATCATATTCTGAGTCGGTCCCTCTTCGGCCGACGAGGGTCCTTTGGCCGACGAGGGCACTGCGTAGTGGCTTGTGCTTTCTGTTCTTCTGAGTATGTGGGTCCTGGGGCCTAGACCCATATACTCCATCAAAAGTTGATACAAAAAAATTACTAGCAGTACCTGAAGTGCCCGATCGTGGAGGGACCGCACCCCCTGGAGCAAAAGTCGGCTGCTGGCCGAACCGAGGTGGATGCTGGCCGAGTTGGATAGGTGTCTGACCAACCTGAGGCTGCTGCTGGCCGTGAGGTGCTGCCGAACCAGCCTGCTGGTAATGTTGGCCGTTGTTAAACCGACCTCTCCCACGACCCCCCTGCCGCGGCCACCGCGGCCTCGGCCCCCTCTGCCGCGTGGTGCATACGCTGGAGGTTGCTGACCAGCTGCTGGGACTGCCCCAAAGGTCTGGTGAATGGTGGAAGCCTGCTGCCGGTTGTACAAAACACGCTGTTCTTGCTCCAATAGGCGGGGTTCCAAGATATGAAACGAAAAACTATCCGGAAATAAAGTAATAGTACCCACCAAAGACTCATATTCAGGTCCCAAACCCGAGATAACATACTCAAGTAACTCCTTATCCGTGATAGGAGAATTAATTGCAGCAACAGCTTCAGCCATAACTTTAATATCCCTCAAATAATGTTCCATGGATTGTGATTCTTTTTTTATTGTGAGATAGTAAACGACGAAGTTCCATGGCACGGGGTAAACTAGCAGACATAAACCTACTTTGTAAGCCCTCCCAAATTTTTCGGGAATGCTTAAGATGATGAACATCAACTAAGACATCCCTAGTCAGAGTCGCAAACAATCAAGAACGAATGGTTTGATCCACACACAACCAGTAATAATATTCAAGATTACTGACTTGCCGACTAGTAAAATCAGTAGTAGAAAGTGAAGGTACCTGAATAGAACCATCAAGCATGCCAACTTTTAGCTTTATAGTAACAATTTGAGCGACCATTGTAATGTGGGATACTAATTGTGCCATTGCTGCCATTGGACACCCGAAAATTGAGGAATCAGTGGGACGAATGATGCCAGGGGAGCCACTGAATGTAGGGCCGAAGAACGTTGCACTGCTCTCACATGGTTGCATCAGACCGGAGGGCTGCTACGGTGGAGCAATTTGCCAGGGAGATGGACTCTGTGCTGCGAACTGAACCTGGGCAGAAGAGAACACCGGACCTGGAGGTTGCAAAGGCGGAGCAATCTGCCATGGAGCCGTGTTGGATGCTGGAAATTGGGCCTGCGCAGGCTGGGCTGATGCTGGAGCCGCAAGCGTCTGAACTGGAACTTCCTGCCATGGAAATTGAGGAGTTTGCACCTGCGCTGAAGAAGACTGGAATGGGGCCTGCTGCCACGGAACCTGAGGAGGCTGAACCGAAGTGGACTGCCACGGGAATTGAGGTGGCAAATCGTTGAAAAGGCTGTAGGTGCTCGTCGAAGTGCAGGGAGAGGAGAATTGCTCTGAAATTTGAGGCACCACAGATGAAATAGCCGGCTGCGTCATCGTGTAGGGGATGGCGCCGGTGGAAAGACTTGCTGTGACTGGTGCAGCAGAGACGGATGAGAAGAGAGCATCGGTTGGTAATGACGCGCGGATATGTTGCGGTGAAGGAGTATCGCCTATGTTTTGCACGGAAAAGACCGAAGACACGGACGTGGTCTGCTGCGGAAAAGTAAAAGGAGAAGCAGTCGAAAAAAATTGTAAACCTAAGATGCTACCATGTCAAATTATGGAACATGTTACTCTCCAAAGAGTCCTGACAGATGAATATATAAAGAATAAAATATCTAAAGTACAACTCGACCAAAATAAGTCCAATATAACTATTAAAAAGAGTGTGCCAATTAGGCATTTAGACCGACCCATCTCTCCAAAATATTTGATACTCCTATTCAAAATTATTCTTTTCTTTATTTATTAGAAAAGAGAGCTTTTCGGTTTTATATTTTGATAAAAAAACTAGAAATTACCGTAACCAAAATGGGTTAGTTTGACTGGTTATTCCCGCTCATTTCTACTAGATCACCGATATCCAATTCCCCCAATCTCATCACAAAATAAAGGACAATTTTGTTACAAAACTAGGGTATATATTAATATGTTAAATGAGCATAAATAAGCAATATTGTACATATAGTACTATAGTAGGGTTTATAAGGCCTCTAACAATCCGTAGTTATATGCTCGACGAATGACTTTGAGAGCGGTTTAAAGTTTTATGATTTTCTCTAATAGGCAACATTAAGTGCAACATTCCCTTAAATTTTGACCAATTTATTAAACAAAATCTAGGTTAAATACTCAAGTCACTAAGGATGTTTTTACTTGGAATGAATTTTTCTGATATGGTCTGAACTGGTCTGGTCTGGTAAATGTTTGGTCTCTCTGTATTTTATTACTATCCGAGTGTGGTCGTGTCTGGTCTGATCTGATCTGGGCTGAAAACAATCCAGGTAAAAATATCCTAACCTATAATAATATAAACTATTTGTTGGTACGAATTCATCTAGAGAGAGAAAGTAGCATGGAGTTAGTATAGTAAAACTGAAGTAGAGTTTCAAGAGAGTTTGATAGCCTATTTATAAGCATTGACAACATATTCACTAATTAATAATTGGACTTGGCCCAATTGATGAACTAGTACTAATGCGATTGGGTCAACTTGGTTGATAAATAATTAAAGAGAGATTCTATTTCCATCACTGACTTTACTAAATAGAAGGGTAATATAGGTATATAGAAAATATATTCATTTACAGTTTACTATGGTGGATGTCAATGGTAAAAACTTGAGTTGCAATTAATATTGGGATAATTCCCTGCTACCTAGTGTAACACCCCGGCCCCGTAAACCCTGAGGTAGTTACTTCTGACCTCTAGTATTGTCCTCACAAACCGCCACTAGTCTTTTCCGCGCACTTTGTCTTCACTCGTACGCGCCCTGAGAAACTTCCCAGGGGGGTCACCCATCCCAAGACTACTCCCGTGCAAGCACGTTTAACTTTGGAGTTCTTGGCTAATGAGCTTCCTTAAAAGGAGATGCACCTTGTTGGTATGAGTAGTACTATTAATCCGTTTAAATTAAATCTCAAGTATTACAATCACCCCCACTTAGGAATGCAACACCCTCGTTGCGCCCATAAACTAATCTCAATCATATCCCAGAATCTTTTCCCCTGCTAAGTGTCCGCCCGATATCCAACGGATCAGCACACTGTTGCAGGGTTGCTCTGATACCATTTGTAACACCCTGACCCTCCAGGACCCAAGGTAGTTACTCCAAACTCTCTTCGGACCTCTAGTACTGTCCTCACAAACCGCCACTAGTCTTTTCCGCGCACTTTGTCCTCACTCGTACGCGCCCTGAGAAACTTCCCAGTGGGGTCACCCATCCCAAGACTACTCCCGTGCAAGCACGCTTAACTTTGGAGTTCTTGGCTAATGAGCTCCCTTAAAAGGAGATGCACCTTGTTGGTATGAGTAGTACTATTAATCCGTTTAAATTAAATCTCAAGTATTACACCTAGATTGTGTCCTTGGTCTAGTTAAGCCCACTCTTGGGTTAGACGGGCTGATAGTACTTGTTCTTTGCGATCGGCTAGTTGCTTAGAAATCTAGACTGGTTGACGGGCCTGTTTACATGCCTACAATTTGGTCCCCTCTGCTTGTGAAGGGACGAAGATCTCCCTTGTCTGGTTCACAATCCGATGTCTTTCTTGTCTGGATAGAATTCGAGGGTCTTTCTTGTCTAGTTAGCAGTGGTCTTTTTTATCTAGTTAGCAGCTCGTGGTCTCCCTTGTCTGGTTAACAATTTAGGGTCTTCCTTACCTGGTGGCAATCCATAGTCTCCCTTGTCTGGTTAGCAGCATGGGCTCTCCCTCGTTTGGTTAGAAGCCCTGGGTTTCCCTTGTCTGGTTAGCATCACACATTCTTCTTTATTGTCAAGATGGCAACCCGAGTCTTTTTAGTCTCGGTCTTATGACCTCCCTTGGTTGTTCATGATGAGGAGGTGTCTTGTTCAAAATTTACTAGGGAAAAACCCTATGGAAAAAATCCTGTGAAGGAAAAACCGGAACCTCAAAGTAAAAGTTTCAACTCTTGCGTGCTGGACTAGACCTATGATGCGCACAAGTATAAGACTTACCAGTATTGAACCGATTGAGTGACTCTGACAATGGTGAAAACTTGACCTTTTGGGCTACGAGACTCGGACATTTTGGAATGGTGAAAACTGAAAATGGAAACCCTACCGCCTGTATTCCACACGGGTATTCATTTATGTATTTACGTGAACGAAAGCTTCTTGTTGCCCTAATACATCATTTCTCGCCTATATATACTCTCAAACTGATCAGAATAATCCCTGCTTTGTATACTCTTCTGTTTGCCCGGCCGCAGAATTCACTCATCTAAAGGTTCGTTAGATCCATAAGATTTCGTAATAATTTCCGCGTATACATATATAAGCATTTCACGTGGTTTCTAAATTTAACCATGTTTTCTTTGTGAATCAAGCTGTTTGCTTTGTTTTTATTTAAATAGTAGTAGAAATGGTGTTTAAGTACGTGTATCTCCTGAATCTTTGTTTATATTGAACCTCTAGATACTTGCTGATCGAGATCTTTGTTACTCGCACTATTACTAGGTCAGCTATTATATAGATTTTCTCTGTATTTGTTGTTCAGAAAGTCTGGAGCATTGTAAATCTGTGGTTGATTTTAAATAGATGTGTGAGAACCAACTATTTTGAAGATCTCGATTTCTTTTGTTATCTTATCTCTGTTTATAAGTTATGTTTTTCACTGGAATGATTTTGTTGTAATCCATATTGAGAAATAGTCTGGAGTATTGTCAATAGATGGTTAATTGTAATTTGATGTGTAAGATTTGCCTTTTCTGAAGATCTGGGTGTCGTTTGTTATGTCATCTAAGTCATAAAATATTTTTCAAACACTGTATGGTGATATGTTATTGTAGGCTTTGAATAGCATGTGGTGAAAGTTGTTTTATATTATTCTATATGTAGTTTATTAGTCGTTGAGCAAGTTATTAATTTAAAAAAATCTGGAACTCTATATTCATTTCTATTTGCTTACAGGTGCCATAATCCACCATGGGTAAGGAAAAGGTTCATATCAGTATTGTTGTCATTGGACATGTCGACTCTGGGAAGTCAACCACCACAGGTCATTTGATCTACAAGTTGGGAGGTATTGACAAGCGTGTGATTGAGAGGTTTGAGAAGGAGGCAGCTGAGATGAACAAGAGGTCCTTCAAGTACGCGTGGGTTCTTGACAAACTCAAGGCTGAACGTGAGCGTGGTATCACAATCGATATTGCTTTGTGGAAGTTTGAGACCACAAAGTACTACTGCACTGTCATTGATGCTCCCGGACATCGTGACTTCATCAAGAACATGATTACTGGAACCTCTCAGGCTGATTGTGCTGTTTTGATCATTGATTCCACCACTGGTGGTTTTGAAGCTGGTATTTCCAAGGATGGTCAGACCCGTGAACATGCTTTACTTGCTTTCACTCTTGGTGTGAAGCAAATGATTTGCTGCTGCAACAAGGTTTCATTTATAAACTATCAATTTTTAGTTCTAAATGATTTAATTTATATATTAATTTTAATAGTATTCTGTTATGTCTAATAAATTTTGCTGATGATCTCTTTGTCTTTAATTTGTAGATGGATGCCACAACCCCGAAGTATTCGAAGGCTAGGTATGAGGAAATTGTCAAGGAAGTGTCATCCTACCTCAAGAAGGTCGGATACAACCCTGACAAGATCCCCTTTGTTCCAATCTCTGGGTTTGAGGGTGACAACATGATTGAGAGGTCAACAAACCTTGACTGGTACAAGGGACCAACCCTTCTCGAGGCTCTTGACCAGGTCAATGAGCCCAAGAGGCCATCTGACAAGCCTCTCCGTCTACCTCTTCAGGATGTCTACAAGATTGGTGGCATTGGTACTGTACCTGTTGGCCGTGTTGAGACAGGTGTGATTAAGCCTGGTATGCTGGTCACTTTTGGGCCAACTGGTCTGACCACTGAAGTGAAGTCCGTTGAGATGCATCATGAGTCTCTACAAGAGGCACTTCCTGGTGACAATGTGGGTTTCAATGTTAAGAATGTTGCAGTCAAGGATATCAAGCGTGGGTATGTTGCATCTAATTCCAAAGATGACCCTGCCAAGGAAGCTGCCAGTTTCACCTCACAGGTCATCATCATGAACCACCCTGGTCAGATAGGAAATGGTTATGCACCAGTTCTTGACTGCCACACTTCCCACATTGCTGTCAAGTTCTCTGAGATATTGACTAAAATTGATAGACGGTCGGGTAAGGAGCTTGAGAAGGAGCCGAAGTTCTTGAAAAATGGAGATGCTGGGATGGTGAAGATGGTTCCCACCAAGCCCATGGTTGTGGAGACCTTTGCTGAGTACCCGCCTCTTGGGCGCTTTGCGGTGAGGGACATGCGGCAAACTGTTGCTGTTGGAGTCGTCAAGAGTGTAGAGAAGAAAGAGCCCTCTGGTGCTAAGATTACCAAGGCCGCCGCGAAAAAGAAATGAATCGAGTTTTTGCTTCCTTCGAATGTGTTGCTTTGGTCAATGTGTTGTCTTTTAATACCTTGTTTACTTCGTGCCCATTCTCAGAATTGGGTACTGGATAGGCGGTGGAGAGACTTTACTTTTCTGTTGGACTTTGTTTTATGAGTTTTTTTGTACTGGGTGCCCTTTTCTATCTTGAATTTAGTGGTTCTCAGAGTTTTGTTCGCATCCAGTTTATGTTGGACTTTGATGGAAATGTAATTCTGTTTTCCTAGCTTATACTATCATACTCCACCGCCTATACTGGGTGCCCTTTTCTATCTTGAATTATAATGTGTTTGTTTGAGCTGTGTAGTTCAGGAAGGTATATTCCTTGTATTCTTATATCAAGGGGAGGTGGGTAGGGATGGGCCTGGTATGGGTCGGGTTGGGCCTGGTTTGTACTGGGTGCCCTTTTCTATCTTGATTTTAGTGGTTCTCAGAGTTTTGTTCGCATCCAGTTTATGTTGGACTTTGATGGAAATGTAATTCTGTTTTCCTAGCTTATACTATCATACTCCACCGCCTATACTGGGTGCCCTTTTCTATCTTGAATTATAATGTGTTTGTTTGAGCTGTGTAGTTCGGGAAGGGATATTCCTTGTATTCTTATATCTAGGGGTGGTTCGGTACGGTATACCGAATATTTTCTCTCATACCTTTACCGTACCATAACTTTCGGTATGCAAAATTTATATACCGTTACCTTACCAAAGTTTCGGTATTCCGCGGTATTTGAAAACATTTACCGTTACCGTACCGTCAAGAAAAACAGGGCCTGAGCTTGGCCTGCCAGGCCTGCACAGTAGCGGGCCAGTCTGGTTCACAGGTTGGTTTTTCCCGATCCAGTCTACCCCTAGTCGTGCTTGGGGTCGGGCCTGGACGGGCTTTTTTTTTTATTTAGGCTCGGAACCGGCCCGAATAGCTACTGGTTCGGGTTGGGCCCGAACTATTTTTTTATGTTGACTACAAATTACTTCAAGAATTGTTAGATATAAAAAAGTTAGAGTATATTTATTTCAAATATGAAGTTCGATTGAGAATTGAAAAAAAAAATTTAACATGAAATATATTTTCTAATAAATACTACCTCCGTTCCAAAAAGATTGATACATTTTGACTTTTCTTGGTCAATGATGGTAAAGTTTAGATAATGATTTTAGGTATTATATTTGTTTGTAATTTATAAATTTTATATTTTTATGTAAGATTTTTTAATAAAGAATATGTTCATATAATTTTCATATTTTAAATAATTTTATACTCCGTATTAAAAGATATCATTGGTCAAACTTAACCATGATTGACCAAGAAAAGTCAAAATGTATCAATTTTTTGGTACTAAGGGAGTAATAATCGATTGGAAAATTTTAAAAATGAAATATATTGGGATATGAAGTACAATTGATAATATAATTAATAGCCTATTTTAAAAAAGCGAGAAAAAGTAGTTCGCAACCGTTTGGTTTTTAATTTTGCATACTCCTCGGGGTGGTTTGCCTTCAAATGTCTATCCACGCTTTCGTATCCATGCGAAATTCCTATATCCATGCGAAATTCCCAAGCAAATTTTCTACTTGTTGCCCACCAAATTCTACTTGCACTGTTGTTTCCTTCCATTCTGTGTAATTGTTTTTCATAAGGAGATATTGACTTTTCTTATCGTTTCCGTCATCGTCGGGTGTTTCCTTGTCGGGGGTTTGGTGATGGCCTTGTACCTCTTTGGGTTTTTCCTTGTAAAAGCATCTCTCCGGTCATAATTTGTGTCATAATCATCTCGGTTTTGAGAAAAAGTAGTCATGGACTGGGTTCGGGCCACCCGGCCCGGCCCGCTACGGTGCGGGACCGGCCCGACCCGATTCTTCAGGCCCAAAACCGGTCTAAGACCTGGTTATTTAGGCTGAGCAGGGCGGGCTCGGGTTGGTAAAAAGGAGGCCCGGTTCGGGCCAAGTTATTTTTTTTTTGTTTTTTTCATTTTTTGGGCTCCACCCGGGTTGGGCTTGACGTTTAGGAGGGGTTTGGGGGGTTTGGGGGTGTGGGATGAGGGGGGGGGGGGGGGGGTCAGGGATAGGTAGGTAAGCAAAAAAAAAAACAATAACCAAGCCCGAGGCCTGGCCGGCCCCGGCCCGGACCCAGTGGCTACCAGGGCCGGTCCTGGGTCCACCTATTTAGAACCGCCAGCCTGCCCGGGTCTAGGCCTGACCCAGACCCGGCCCAGCCCGAATCCACCCGTAAGAAAAAGACCCGATATGTCCTTTCTTTGCGTTGAAGATTATCCATATCTACATAATGTCTACTACTTTCCAACTAAAAATTTAACAAATATTAAACATTCCTAAAATATTTAATACTTTAATATATATACTTAATATATTAATTAGATATAATATGTAAATATAAGTAAATATAATAAGTATAAGTTAAGTAGATAATAAGTAGATAATAAATATAAGTAGATATATTATATGTATTTATAAGTAGATATTAAGTAGATAATAAATATAAGTAGATATAATATATAAGTAGATATAATTGTATAACTAATTTAAATAGATATGAATAATATGATATATATACTCCGTATTAATGGATGTAGAGATAATGAGAGAATTGGAGAAGATGAAGATGAAGAATTGGAGACGATTAAAGAGTATTAGAAAGTAGGAAGAATTGTAGAATAGATGTAGAAAAGTGTTTAGAAATTAGGAGTATTTATATTTTCTTTACTCCCCACCCCCACCCCCCTACCTGGCCCTTTAGGAGGCTCCAAAGGCTATAGAGCCAACAACTCTAATTATTTAAAAAAAAATTAAAAAAATAGCCGTTACCGGCCCGGATGAGCCGGTCCCTGTTGTTGCAGACCCGGAGCCCGGTTTCCATGCCCCCGGTTCGGGCCTAGTGGACCAGGCCCGGACTCGGTTGGTGGGCCGGTCTATCTGGAACCGGTACAACCCTAGAGGCGGGTGGAAGTACAGTAACGAACATGCTAGGAAAGTGTCGAGTTTAATGTCCTTCGCAAGAGTTTTTGCCACTTTTGGTACTGCGATGATTTTGTTATTGACACTTTTGATACTCGACTTTGATTTATTTCACTTTTAGTCTTTGATTATTGTATAAGAGACACTTTTGGTACTCGTATTTGAAAATTTTCATATTTAGTCCTACGACTTTCATAGAAGTGACACTTTTCGTTTTTCAACTATTGTATTAGTGACATTTTTAGTCCTCCAATTATTGTGTCAAAATCATAGTGGAAGGACTAAAAGTGTAAATTTGATAATACTCAAGGGACTAAATGTGGAAAACTTTGAAGTCGAATACAAAAAGTGTCTTTGGCACAATAGTCGAGGACTAAAAATGGAAAAACTAAAAATCGAGTACCAAAAGTGTAACTGATACAATAGTCAGGGGACCAAAAATGAAAAAAAAAACTCTCCTTCGCAATCTTTATAACTATAGGAAATTAGGGATGAGAAACATATCTACTAATAATAACAATGCAAGTGAGCTTTGGTGGGTTAATACGCACACAAGTGAAATCCCATGAAAAATATATCGTTCTGGTACCACTTTTTACTGAACTTGTGATACCATTTTGAAAAAATCCCGAAGATATTGTAGTAGAAATTGATACATGTGAGAACATGATCGTTTGTGTATCAAATGAGTCAAAATTTAACAGATGCATTTTTTAATCTCAAAAATGTTTGCTTGTTAAAAATATCATCATGGTAATTGGTGAATCTTAACACATTGAAGTACGTGTCACCTATGGTTACAAGACATGTAGATTTAGAGAGAGAACCAATTAGAAAAAAATAACCAAGACATAATAAGAAGAGTTATTTGGGAAAAATGACCCACAATTATGAAAGAATTGCAAAAGGAGTATGTCGCATCCGTATTTCTATAAATATCAAGATTGCGTTGAAAAGGACACAAGTCAGAGAAGAGTGGGGATAGCTGGTTCTGGGCGTATTTCAAATATGAGTCTTCCCAACCTTTGTTTTATCTGTGGAGTGTTGGGCCATAACGATCACTATTGTCCATCTAATACCAGTTCGGGCTCGTGGGTGGGTGGGTGAGGAGCCTTATGGCCTTTAAATGAGGGCAGATATGTGGCGTGGGGGGACTCATCTAGAGAATAAAGGGTTGATCCTGCATGGAGGGGGAGAGTTAACTGGTGTAAGGGGAGGGGAGATAGGGAGCAGGATGGGCAGTTGATATGGATACAAGAGAAAGCAATAGAGGCTGGTTGTTATCTGGTCCAGGGACTTGTTTCTAAAGGGAAAGGAAAGATGAGAGCTCAGGAAGAGCAAAATCAAGCTAGAGCCCTTAAGGAAGGAGAGTCTAGGAAGCGTGGAATAGTGGACTTGCAGAATCTGGTGAAAGTACAAGTCAATATGGAGGTTGAACAGGTCAAAAATCGGCTCAACGGCGGTGCTTCTGGATCTGTACCACCTGGTATACTTATAGGCCTTGGGAGTGAAGTGGTTCCTTTGGAGGTGACTGAGCAAACCTGTTCTCCCTTCTCGGTGGTTGGTCTAATCAAAATGTCTTCTTTGGAGGTGGTTGATAAAACTTCTTCTTCCTTTCTGGTGGCTGGTAAAATCGGAATGACTTATTTGGAGGTGGCTGATAAAATCTCTTCTTCCTTTCTGGTGGCTGGTAAAATCTCTGATGGCTGTTAAAACTAGAACACTTGATTTACTTTGTTGCTTTTCTTTTTAGAACTCTTGTTGAATTACCTCCTATCAGTGTTGTTAGATTAACCTACATCGTTGCAGGGTTAACCGATATGATGGGTCCTCCAGGGCTAATCAATTCTATGTCTCATCTGAGTGTAGTTTATTAGTTTACCTATCGATACTTTCTTCATTAATAAAAAAAATTCTTCTTTAAAAAAATAAGAGTACTGTTTGTCAATAATTACAAAAATTTGAGCGGATGAAAAGTCATTCGCTGATTTTTTTTACCCTGCCCAAATTGAGTTACATTATGACCATTCAATAGTTATCATTTTTTTATTCTGATATTTTGAATATCAATATTTTATTACGTTCAATTTGTTTTTTTCTTGCGTTTTAATATAAGTTATAGTGTAGTTTACAAATGTCCGAATTTAAATTATGATCACTTATTTAATTACTCCGTATTATTTTTAGGAGGAATTAATTTATTTATTAGTCAAATGTAAAACTCTTCAAATTACATTTCCATTTGGGATGAAGGAAGTATAGAATAGATAATATACAAAAATAAAGTAAAGAGCTTAAAGCCAATAAAGACTAAGAAATTTGCCTAAAGACTTAAATTATTTATATATAATTACTATTTGAGCTCTATGGTAAAATTAGGACCTAACCATTAATGTAAAAAGAGCGTAGCAATTAGGCATTTAGACCTACCATCTCCACAAAAATATAGATACTCGTATTCAAAATTATTCTTTTCTTTATTTATTAGAAAAGAGCTTGTCGGTTTCATATTTGATAATTATCACAATTTTAGTATAAAAAAACTAGAAATTACCGTAACTAAAATGGGTTAGTTTGACTAGTTATTCCCTCCATTTCTACTAGATCACCGATATCCAATTCCCCTAAAACTCATCACAAAATAAAAGAATGAGATATTACCCGAAATATGACAAACAGTTTCAAAATACCAAAATAGGACTACCATGTTTTTATTCCCAAAATATGACTAATTACTGCCATGTTTTGACAGTACCAGACTTCAAACATGTCAGTATTTTCTAAACATGGCATTAATTAGTCCTATTTTGGGAATAAAAAACATGACAATCCTATTTTGGAATTTTGAAACTGTTTTAGTCCTATTTCGGGAACTTTCCCTAAAAGAATACATTTTTATAAAACTAGGGTATATATTTATATGTTAAATGAGCATAAATCAGCAATATTGTCAATACAGTTTTTGTTTAAGAAACCGGACTAGGAGGCGACCCGGCCGCGTGACCGAGTCACGGGTCAACCTGAACTCGGTCGGGCCAACCCGGTCACTATCATATAATCGGTCAACCATATAATAATAATAAACATATAAGTGTATACAAAATTAAAATAAAAGGTAGTTATTTCATAATACTCCCTCCGTCCCTAAAAGGATTGCCAAGTTTGACCGACACGTAGAATAATAAAGTAAAAACTGTGCGGTAGAGATTTGTGAAGAGGAGAGAGAAATAACTAGAGCCACAAATTGATTGATTAAAAGGGAAAGTGGCAAAGTTTTTGGGACAACCGAAAAAGGAAAGTTGGCAAAGTTATAAGGGACGGAAGGAGTAATTAACTAATGATATACTTACTAAACATTTAAAAGTTAAAACAGTTTCATAAAATTCTGAAATACCATTTTGATCTAATTACAATATATAATGATACTCTGTATTTCTTATTTTGATTGTACATTTATTATATAATTTGACATGATTTTTATTCTTAAACAAATAAGTAACAAGTACGGAGTATATAATACATTGCATGTTTTTCTTTTTGGGTATTGAAATTGGAATTTTATTGGTTAAAAATGCTTTAAGATTTAAAAAAATACTTTTTTGGAAAAAATAACCAAAACTGGGTTTTTCCGGGTTTGTCGAGTTTTTCGGGTCCGGGTTTAGATCAGGTTTTCCAGGTCAGCCAGGTTTTTCCGGTTTTTGACCATTTCCGGGTTTCTTAACTAACTGAACCGGGTTTTGTCCGGGTCGCCATGTTCCGGGTCGACCCGGTCGGTTCGGGTCGAATTTTTTAACATAGCCTATAGTATCTTTTATAAGGCCTCTAACAACCCAGACATATTAAATCATGTTTAATTACAATTTTTTTTGAATAGATTTACTTAATCATGGTATTCAGACCTAAGGGGTGACCGGAAAACCGAGTAAAGGAGTGACTGAAAAGTGCTAAGTAAGACAGAGTAAGAATTTGGGCAGAGTAACATCAAGTTTGCACAGAAAATTTTGATCAGATCCCTTTCTACATGTTGGAAGGTGATATTTATACTAAGGAGAAAATACTTGACCAACAAGTAAAAAGCTGCTATTCTATTGCGGTAGAGGACACATGTATTACTTGGTTAACAAGAAGGGATGTACTAATCTAATTGTGTGGGGACGTGTAAAGTTGATTTGAAAGATTTCCTTGAAGAGCTGGCTGAATGGTCCTGTGTGTAACAGAATTGTCCTTCGTGTGCAAGAATCCATTGCACGCCACACATGTGCTATCCATAATATTATGTGTAATAACCACACAAGTGACATGGGCCTTGGCCAGCTGTCGTGATTGGCTGCAGTTCTGTGTGACACTTGATTGCTGAAATGTCTACGTCCACAACTAACTAGCAAAGCCTAGAGCTCAGGCGCTCAGCTGACGAGATCGAGCTCGTGTATAGCATTCTCATTTGGAAGGAGGCAGCCTCGAGTAGCTGTTTACCAGGTGTGAGTGACTCCTTTGCTTCATTGACTTTCTAGAAGCATCACTTGATTTATGTCTACCGAACATAAAACTAATTTTCCATTTTCATTTTTAGTATATAAAACAATAATGCACTATTATTTTAGTCGCCTAATGTAGGGAAAATAGACCATGATTTAATGCGAAAAATGACATGTATATTACTAATAGAGTTTTAACGGACAAAAATATGACTAGTTATATTTTTGGAAACAAATATGATTAGTCATTGTGAATTAGTTACTATAGTGTATTTTAGAATGACAAGTCACTGTAAATGACGAGTCACCGTGAAGTAGTCACTAAATATGTCACATTTTTAGAAAATTTGAAAACAAGTCATATTTTTCTCTTTTGAATTTAATTTAGAAATATTCATGAAAAAGACCGTTTAGTATTTTTGTTTTGTTTCAATAAGACAAAAGCTAGAAAAACGTTTTATGCCTAATAAGGGGGTGTTTGGATCTGATTTTTAAAAATGTTTCTGCTCCTTCAGGGAGCAGAAGCAGAAGTTGGAGTGTTTGGGTAAAAGTGCAGAAATGATTCTGATGCTCTAATTTACTCCTAGAATCAGTTTTTTATAAGTTGGGGGTGACCAGCTTCTGAAAACTGATTCTGATTCTGTTTCTGCTTCTGCTTTAAAAAAGAAGTAGAAGCAGAATCAATTCCAAACACCTACTAAACATACATTAAATATTCCTTTTTTACGATACAAAAATAATAATGCATTATTATTTACTAGCTGAATATAGAACAAAAAAGATGAGTTGTAAAAACTCTATCTTTATTTTATTAATATAAGTTGTAAAAATATGTTTCCTCGATACTGCGAGAATTTAAATCACGGATAAAATAGCCAAATAGGGGTGCATGGCATCATAATCACCCCAATATACAACAAACATCACATCACCGTGACCATTGCAATGTAAAATTAACCTTACTATTGTTACTACAGTCACCCTATAAGCGTTCTAACACTACTAGAAAAATAGCTATTTGTTGCGGTTATTTTTAGCTATTTGGTGCGGTTCTGAACCGCATCAAGTAGCTATGTTAAAAAATGAAATTTGACTTATTGCTGCAGTTTAGAACAACAACAAATAGGTGGTTCGAAGCGCAACAAATATCAATAAAAAAATCTTAATTTCTACGGTTTCTAACTATGGATGGACTCGGGCCAGGTGGCCCGACCCGGAACCGGCCCGGGACCGGTACTGTTCCAGCCCGGCCCGACCCGGTGGCCCGGTCAGTGACCGGTCCGGGTAGGCCCGGCCCGTGGGTTTTCCGGTCCGGGCTCGGGTCACCCAAAACAAGGCCCGACCCGTCCGGGCCCGGTTCAGGCCAAAAACTATTTTTTTTTTCAATTTTTTTTAAATTTTCGGGTTGGGCTGGGTATTTTGGGCCATTTGGGGTGGTTTGGGGGGTTGGGGGTGGGAGGGGGGTTAATTAGGAAGAGGAAAACAAAAAAAAATATATAATGGGCCCGGCCCGGCCCCGGACCGGACCCGGTGGTTACCCGGACCGGTCCCGGGTCCACCATTTGTGACCCGCCGGCCCACCCGGGCCTAGGCCCGACCCGGACCCGGCCCGGACCCGAGTCCATCCATATTTCTAACCGCACCGAAACATTTTTAAAAGTTGCTATATTATATTATTTTGTTATACTTTTCAAATACATAACAGTATGTTTCAGACCAAAATATATCAAAATATATCCTATATATAATTGAAAAAATTCATTTCTACAATATCAATATATCAAGAGTTAAGTTATACATAGTCATAATTACGGAGTAATACTTCCTCCGGTTCTTATTTAAGTTCTTAGTTTGACTTCACACATATTAAGAAAATGAATTTGACTTTACTGTGGAGTGCACTGTTTGGCACTGTTTGGCACTGTTTGGACACTGTTTGACACTGTTTGGCACTGTTTTGCACTGTTTTGTTTCCTAAAATGGAAGTGTGAATTTAAATAAGGGACATCCCAAAAAGGAAAGTGGGAACTTTAATAAGAACCGGAGGGAGTACATAATCATAATTCAAATACAACGATGAAGCACAATGGTGCTCAATTCACAACTTAAAAACGAAATCAACATGAGCATCATATATCTTCTACATGGCATTGAAGATTAAGACGGAAGAAATCGCTTGATAGTTTCCCCTATCACGTCTGTTTAAGTTCACCCGTCTCATGACTCATCACTTATATGATTCAACTTCAGCATCAAAAGCTCATTCAGGGACCTGCAAAACACATTTGTAACTTTGTAAGTGAACAAACTTTGTTAGTTTTTACGCTTTACTAATTATGTGCATATTTCACGTCCTAGCATCGACACTAATGAAATTCTGATTCAATTCCTCCCAATAAACTTGGTCCAATCCTGGGGCAATATCATTTTTGTTTTGTTTCGTTTTGGATACAACTAAAAGAAAAAAACGAAACAAATAATCTAAACCATCAATAGAGTTTTAAAACGTAGAAGTGATGATAGTCTTAATACAAGAGACACAGAATCTGAACATACGAAGCAGTAGTTAATGATACTTTAGGGAGTTTAATATTGGACACTTAAGGTTGGTGAATTTAATTTATTTCAGCAACCTTAATACGTGGTTTAGATTTGCACATGGCTATAATATTTCAGCCAGCACATTAAGGGGAGTAAATATTTCAGCTGCTTGGTCAATGATACAAAGCACTATACGTGCCTCCGGAAATATGCAATTAGAGTGTACTTAAGCACAAATATTTGCATAATCTACTTTTGAAGTTTCCTTTTCTTGGAGTCAGATATATGTAACATGAGTTGTAAGGAGATTAATCATAACTGTAAAGCAGGAGAACTGTTAAAGATAATTCATAAAGATATTGAGATTTCTACACTACTAACCTTAGTCCCAATGTAAAATGTCACAAGCATGACACATAAAACTGGCAGCCCTGCAGGATATAAAACTTCATAACCTATGAAAACATAATGTGAATGAAAAAGGCTAAACAAGTCATAGAGATTAACAACCTTTTTTGTTAAGAAGACAGCTGATAACCAGTTGATCCCTGATGGTCCTATCACAAAACCAACTAGATTGGCTATCTGCAAGAGCATTGTTATTACTCTCGGGTGTTTTAGTCAATAAAGCAGTAGAAGAACCACTGAACTAACATTGAGGAGAACATTATTTATGATCTATTACATGTCAAGTTTCTTAATCTCTTAAATTGTCCACATGTTTAAACAGAAAAGGTTCCAATTAGCAACACATCATTTCAATATATTGGATTAGCTCAAATTAGGCAACTGCCATTGAAAGTTTCAAACTCATTCTCCCTATGCCCCTTCATACACCATTTGTCAGTTTCAGATATGCCAAAAAACACATAATAGGCATATCAGTAAATATCACAGATATTATGAAACATGAGGGGGATCATTGTATTTTAATTTTTTTTTATTGAGATATCAGTTAATATCCAATCTGATGCTAAGATTGGTTAGTGTTTAGCACAAGTTGGATGAAGTCCAAGATAAATCAAGTACAAATATTTTGAAAACATCCAAACATTTAGCCAATATGTTAACCGAAAAAAAAACAGCAACAATAATAATTGTAAGCAAAATGGAAATAACATTATAGAAATAATATCTTTGTGTGTTGTTAATAAACTTGTACTCCCTATCAAGTAATTTCCAAAAATATGGTATAACTTTCATACTTTTATTTAAATTTTTACTGATAACGATATCTAAATGAGCTCCAGGGAGTCTATACACATTCAAGTTATTTCAGCAAAAAAATACAGCTATAGATATTGGGCCCCAATTTTCTTCACATGTGTGTTCAAAGTCTCGTTAATTTCATCCAAACATAAACATAAGTATAAATACTAATTCCATTAATCCAAAAACAAATACTAATTCAATCAATTCATACAAATACTAATCTTCAACAAATTTGATAAAATTCAATAAATTAAATAGAATGTATACATAAAAGGTTGGAAAATAGACCTCTATTGAGGCAGTATGAGTTGACAAAGGATTGTACTAGGAGGGGGCGGCGTTCGGCAGCGTTCAGCCGCTACATCTGGAGGAGCGGCGTTCTGCGGCTACATCTGGAGGAGCGGCGTACGGCGTCTGCGGCTGGGAGGAGGGGCGTGTGGCGTCTGCAGCTGGGAGGAGGGGCGTGTGGCGTCTGCAGCTGGGAGGAGGGGCGTGTGGCGTCTGCAGCTGGGAGGAGGGGCGTGTGGCGTCTGCAGCTGGGAGGAGCGGTGTTCGGCGGCTGCGGCTGGGAGGGTCGGCGTTCGGCAGATGCAAACGGGGCTGAGGATCGAGGACGAGTAGAAGCCTGGAACTCTGGAGGCTTGTTTTGGAGACTCCGATAAAGGTTATTTTAGGTTTTAGGGGTGATGTTGCTGCGGTGGATAATGACGGCGAATATTCCAAAATGCTGCGGTTCCGTAGTGACAGCAGCAAATATTCCAAAAAAATTCTAAGATATTGTTGCGGTTTTTTTGTACCGCCGCAATTAGTTCAAATTTAACATTTTGCTGCGGGTATTGCTCCAACCGCAGCAAAAACGGAGCAGCAAATGACGAAAAATCTAATAGTGTAACTATCGCTTGAGTCATATTTTTGTCAAGTCTTTATGTTTCACTCGTATATATGCTTATCATCACTTCATACACAATACGTACTATGCATCACACATCACGCAAGATGCAAGACGCAATGTTAGAATATTATTTATTGTGTTCAAATTAATTGTAATTATCTTTGTTTATTTAGACTAGTATTAGTGAGATTTATATTTTAGAATAAGTGGGCTAACTAATTAATTAAAGGAGACATGTTGCTTTTCTAATTGTATTAGGAAGTTCAAAACTCTCTCCTATAAATATAGGTAGAGGTTCGAACTTCTCAAAGAGTTCTACACATTATTTCTGCATACATGTCATTTTTTCGCATTAAATCATGGTCTTTTTGCCTTACATCAGGCTACTAAAGTAATAGTACATTATTTTTTTATATACTAAAAATGAAAATTGAAAATTAGTTGTATGTTCGGTAGATATAAATCATCACCTTTTAGTTTTTGCATTATTTAAAAATGTAAAAAAACTTACAGTTGTTTTTAGGAATTTTAAAAACTTAATTGACATATTTTTCAAAAGGTGCCCTGAATGCCTTATGAGGGAAATATTGCAACTTTTAATATTAACTAGTCACAACTTGTTATTATAAATAAAATTACACCGAACATTTAGTTCTATCAAACATTTATAGCCGCATTTTCAAATTTATTTTAGTTACTAAATGCTATCAGTTATCCAGAAACTAAAAAATGTATTTTTCAACTAGTTGTTCCAAACGTACCCCAAATGGTATTTTGAAGCATTGCCGGCAATGAGTTTTATGATGGTCTTGTTTAACCTAAAGTTGGAGGTTCATTGCTCTTTTCTCTTTGAATGAAATTTAAAGGTTCCATATGGGCTAGAGTTACATAAATTTGATGTTCTAACGTTTAAATTGATCGAATACTGACATAGTAATATAAATTTGAAGTTAGATTGTTTTTTTTTTTGAGCTTAAACAATTTATTGTAAGTAATTAACTTAAACATGCAAATAAATTAACTTATAGCTTTGCTAATGAGGGATTAAATACATCAAGTTGGTGGTTTCAAAGTTTCAGGAGTAAAAGTGATGATAGTAACACTTCAATGACTAAATTTTTATACCCGCACGAGTAGCTCAGTTGGTCGAGTGGTGGAAAAATTAGACCAAGTGATCAAGATTCGAAACTCGCACCGCTCGTGTGAAGGTTAATTACAAAACCTGAAATAAGGCTGGACCTCTGGTGCGCACGTGTATAAGGCCTACCGCCGCTTTGCTGACTGAGTCACCGTGATTAACCTCCCCACCATCCGTCGGGTCGGGGTGGGGGCCTTGGGGTTGGGCATTCAGCCTTTTGGACCAAACAAATGACTAAATTTTTATTTACCTATAGTATGGGGATCTTCACACCTGATTCCTTTATATGTACTCACGTGAAAACTTGAGAATAACCCGGAGCGGATGAGTAAGTAAGAACAGAAGCTGCTTTTCTGGGTAGCAAATAACATGATTTCTACTACATTTCAGTTTCTCTAAAAGTGAATATTAGTGATTAATTATTAGGAGATGAGCAACATAAACATTGGGGAATTGAAAATATTAGGAGATGACTAGATGAACAACATAAACAGTGGAGAGTTGATAGCCAGTGTTGAAGAGGAAAGGAATGGATAAATGTGCCTTGTACCAGAACCATCATATAAAATTTAAAATTTACATCATCCTTTTTTGAATCATATAAAATTTAGTCGGTGTTTGGGGGCCCTCAGGTATGGGATGTCATCCTTTTTTGAATCATATAAAATTTAGTCTGAAAAACAAAGACATGAGCATGAAATTGCACCTTCTTCATTGCGGAGCATGTTTCGGCTTAACAACAATGGTAGAAGATAAAATGGTGCCAGTGGTGGATCCAGGAAACTATGTGTTGGCATACTCATACCTTCGAACTTTATACTACATAAATAATTCAATTATCATTATCAGCAAAATGAATAATTCAACTCATATCCGATTTAATCTAAACTCGATCAATAATAATGTGATAGCAGATGCTTTACATAATTAGTAATTTATCACGTAGTATAATACTCCCTCCGGTCCTAAATAAAATTCACACTTTCCTTTTAGGTCGGTCCAAAATAAAGTTCACACTTCTTCTCCTTCCTTATTTGACAAATTATCTACATCAAAACAGTGCAAAACAGTGTCAAACAGTGTCACAACAGTGTACTCTACAGTAAAGTCAAATTTATTTCCTTAATTTGTATGAAGTCAAACACTGAACTTTATTTAGGACCGGAGGGAGTACTATTCAGATAATGGCATGCTTTTTTATTTAGGACCGAAGGGAGCATCTTCAATGCTAAAACGTTAACCGTGCATACGTGGCATGAGAGATAACCAATGAAAAAACAATAAATTGAATATCTCTCCCCTTATTTGAAGGATCTTATATCATTTTGGTAAGTTTTTCTTCACAATGTCAAGCATAATGTCTAGAGGTAGACATTATACTTGACATTGCAGGAAAAAACTTACAAAAAACACATAATACCGTGGAAAGACGGAGAGAGAAATGTCATAAAATCAATCTTTGTGTATATCTCTCTCATGCCACATGTGCACCGTGCACATTGTAGCATTGGAGATGCTCTAAACAACGGCATTATTCTGTTGGGCTTTTTTGGATTTTAGAAATAAAGTTTACTAAAATAGCAGTGACATATATATGAGTTTCATTAAATTTAGAAGGTGACAATTCCGGTACCCATTTAAAAAATGGGGTACCATACCTACCATTTATTTGATTGGTCCAAATCATTATATTATTTTGAATTTAGATTTAAATAATTCAATTGCAATATTCTGATTGGTCCATGTGGACAAAGGTATAGTACCTTAAGGGTATCGTTACAAATGTTCAAATGATTGAATATCTATTACTAAAAAAAATGAAAAGTAGTCAAATAATACGGAGTATTTAGGTATATGCACTTATTCATTTCTGATTTCAGATAAAAAATCACATGAATATTACTACGTAATTTGCAATATTTCTAATTTTACGATCATTTTTATACATAATGTACGTGTTATATTACATGAAATCATAACTAAATGAGCACCGTGATTTGTTGACCAAAACATATGTATGCAAGTATATTTGACAAATTATGTAATACGAGTACCTACAAAAACTTGTGTTCAATGAATGCCACCAATTAAATTAGAAACTTCATGCATATCTCTTACAATATTTTAGATTGTTTGGTTAAATTAAATTTAAATTCTACTCCGTATTAAATAAATTAAGCATCTTTACAGTAATCTCTATGATCTATCTCCTAACAATATTATTGTGCATAAATATGATTGTAAAATTAGAAATCTTGCAAATTAATATTCATGTGATTTTTTGTTTGAAATCTGAATTGACGTGTACTGTAAATTGTTTAAGCTCAAAATAAACCAACAATCTGTCTTCAAAATTACATTATTGTTTCAATATTAGATCAATTTAAACGTTATAACATCAAATTTATGTAACTCTATCCCATAAGGAAAGCGGCATTAAACCTCTAAATTTCATCCAAAGAAAAAAGAGCAATAAACCTAAAACTTTAGGCTAAAGAAGACCGTCATTAAACTCATTGGTGGCAATGCTTCTAAACACCATTTGGGGTACGTTAGTCACAATTAGTTGAAAAACAAAGGGGTTAATCCCTAAATATTACTAATTTGAACTGAATTTCAAAAAATGTGAGTACTTTTAAATATTGACAAAAAAGTGATTAAAGAGGTCATATACTTGGAACTATAAAACATAATGTCACAGGAAAAAAATTATGTCACTGTGTTCATTTATTCGTGTCACTGAAAGCGATCACCGTCAAAATTTCACGCCAATTACGTCGCCACCGTCACAGTGACGCTGTCATAGTGACCCCACCACAGTGACGCCGTCACAGTGATGCCGCCACGGTGACATGCCCCTCTCTGACTCTCCCCTGCAACCACACCCTCTCCACTGCCTCTGTCACACTGCAGCCCCCCTCACCCTCTCACAGTCCCATCACCGTCCTATCCCCAGTCCGACGCCGCCCCACTTGTTGCCGCCATCTCCAATCACACCGCCGCCCAACACTAGCCCCATTCCAACCCGTAACCCTAGCCCCATTCCAACCTGTAACACAGCCACACCGCACAAGATCCGCAAGCGAGATGATTAAGCTTCACCGGAGATGAAGAAAGGGGAAGAAGAGAGACGCCGGAGAAGACAGATCTGCGATGCAGTAACACTGATGGCGTCGTGGGGGTGGAGGCGCCGGTCTGGGAGAGGAAGATGGCGATATGGGAGAAGAGGATGATGATTTCGTCCGAGCTGGGAGAGGCGCCGATCTGGCCAATTGGGAAAAGGCTGAGAGTTGCGTGAATGGGCCGAGAAGAAAATCGTGCATGTTACAAAGCCTGCGCTTGGGAGAGAGACGAAGGGATATTTTAACTCTCTTTTTTGTCAATTTGAAATCCAGTCATATATTTGTCCATCTAAAGATCATAAGTGATGTTTTTGATATTGTTTCAAAAACAAATACTTTTGTTTTTAGTTTTTGGATAATTGATGGAATTTAGTAACTAAAATGTATTCTAGAATTTTATTTAGAATAACAAATTGTGGCTAATTAATGTTAAAATCTTTATCTCATAAGCTATTCACTGCACCTTTTGAAAAATATGTCAATTAATTTTTTAAAACAACTCCTAAAAACTGTGTTCAAACACACAACTATAAGTTTTTGGACTTTGTAAATAATACAAAAGTTATAAGGTGATGATTTATGTCTATCGCACCTAATTTTCCATTTTTCATTCTTACTATGTAAAACAATAATGTGTTATTGTTTTACTAGCCCAATATAGGACAAAAAAGACCATGATTAATGCATCTTCTATTTTTGTTTTTAATCAGACATAAGCTGAATATAGAACAAGAAAGATGAGTTGTAAAAACTCATCTTTATTTTATTAATATAAGTTGTAACAATATGTTTCCTCAATACTATGAAAATTAAAATCATGGATTAAAATAGCCAAATAGGAGTACATGGCATCAAATCACCCCAATATACAACAAACAGCACATCACCTTGACCATTGCAATGTAAAATTAAACATCACCATTGTTACTACTTAACGTCATATTTTTGTCCAGTCTTTGAGACCGTTCCATAATACCCAAATCAGTTGTATTGGCTGATTCTGCTGAAATTTATGAAGTTCTATCTGAAGTGACTATATTAACTGATTCTACAGATTTAAGAAAAAATTATTTTTAAAATATATTTATTAATAAAATAAAGAAGAAATTATATGAAATAACAATTAAAATGATCCTCTACAGTAACTTCAGCCAATGCAGCCAGAAAAGTAACTCCAACCTTACTTTTACTTATTACGTAATATTAAATAATTCAGCGCGCAAAATAAAAAATTATGTGTTTGGTGAAAAGGTTGACTCATAACTTATAAGCATGATAAGCCGAAAAAATAGAGTTACCAAACGGGCTCTTTTATGTTTCATTCATATATAATAGGAGCAGGTTAACTTCTGTAAAAGAGTGGAGTAAATTCAAAGAAGCCCGCATATATTTGAAACAATGCTGTATAAATTCAGAAGGCATCATCAGGCAGCATTATTCCTGACTACTCAGTTCGTTACCAACCAAAAGACATGAACAGCCATGGAAGCACAGAATTATGGCACAAAGAATGTACAATGAACAAATCCCACAGCTTCTTAACACAATATCAACTCCCGGCAAGTAACAAAAAAAGTACCTATTAGTCGCTTAATATCATCCTCTCTCTGTCTCTCTCACTCTCTCTATATATAGTATATATAAAAGATATAAATGGTGGACTATAAGTTGCAGCCTCTTCACTCTCTCAAGGTGTTAATGGGAAAGCAGGAGTAGGATTACCAGCAGGATACCTTTGCCTCCTGGGTCGTCTTGTCTTTCCCCATCCCGTTAGGCTCTTGTCCTCCAAAACTCCTTCAATATTATTAAATTGCTGCGTTAGAGTAGTTCCCGGTGAGCTGCTTGGAACCGCAGGTGGTGGTGGTGGTGGTGGTAATGGCTGTCCGGCGTCAATGGCAGCAGCAGCCACTGCTCGTCGTCTTCCCCTGGCCCCACCGCCATTTCGGGCCCCATTCCTTCTCATTGCCAATGGAGAAGTCCAAGCATGGCCCGTCGCTCTCATTAGTCCTCCGAATGTCTGTAGGTCTTCTGTCAATTCATGCCTTGACAAGGAAGACAACCCGGGAAGGATGTCCCTCTGGAAGTCCCTCCGCTGCCTTCCTCTCCTTGCCTGACCCCTTCGAGGTCGATTAAGAATGGAAGTTGGACCCACATTGTTGTCCACGTACTGGAACTCTGGAATGAATGGCTTTGGCATGTAGTCCTCTTCCTTGGTTTCTGTTAATTGCAATGTCATTGCCTCAAAAATATCCATTTCCTGGAAAAATTCTTTATCATCAGGCTTGTCTTTGATGACATCATCAGTACAAGAGAAGACACAATCAGCAAACCAATGAAGCGCTTTTCCCAAAGGATCTTCTGATGGGTCATCATCACCTAACAATGAGATGGAAAGTATTGCTTCTGCTGCAATACTTTCATCTTCATCCATACGCTTCTCCTCTCTCGGAGGTAGATTATTATCTTCCACATGCTCATCATCTTCATCACTATCTAAAACAGCCGGAGCTTCCAAATCGATCTCTCGACCTGCATTTGTTCTACCATTATTATTACAAGTTACACCAGAGGGTCCCACACGATCTTCTTCTTCATCAGGAGCACAGAAATTCAAATCGATGTCATTTCTGATACTAGTAGTAGCTTTTGGGCCATCCACTCCCTTCTCCAGATCATCACTTGACAGATCCCATGCCATGTTTATATCGATCATAATGTTCTTCTTCTTCTCATCCCTCCTATTATGTTCATCAGGTGATGGTTGAATAATGGATGCAGAAGTAGAAACAAGAACAGACGATTCCTCCTTTCTGGAACCACTACTTGAGGGCTTAGTAGCTCTAAGCCAAGGCAATGAAGGTACAATGTCTTCAACCTTTCTCGTACTACTACTACCACCAACCAACTCCTCATCTCTCGGACTGATGGGATCATTCATAACATTCAGATCAAAACCTTTTGCAGACTTTGAATCTGTCGAGTTGGAAACAGCAAGAAACCTCCTCTCGTGTTGATGAAGAATAGCAGTAGACGGTTCAGGCAATACATTGTCACCCTTGTTGAAGTTCAGACAATCAAAAGCAAGTGGTTGGAAACGAGCAGAGGGCTCTCCCCTTGACATGGATGAAGAAGACCCATGGCAAAAAAATCCATTCTTAACAGGATGATCATTGGCCACATCTGTATTCATCACAACCCTATTAGATATGCCAGCACCATTCCACCTGTCTCTCCCCATAACGGGGCTCTGAGAATTCATAATCGGGATTGGATGAAAAAATGTTGACTTTTGGGTCGGGCTATTTGTTGGCTTTCCCAAAGATGAAACAGGAGGCCACATATTGGGAAACTCTGAAGAGCTAACAAATGGGGTAGGATTGGAAGAAAAGAGGGATGTCGCCATGGGTGGTTCCACACGACTAAAATTAGAGTTCTCATGGCCTCTTTCAAAGCCATAACCTGTCCTCTCTCGCCACATGTCTGGACTTGGATAGATTCCTGGATTATAACGATGGGACGGCATAGGTAACTTATTCTGTTCCAAATCTTGACAAACAGGGGGGAAACCGTTTTTCATGTTACCTGCAAAATATGATGACCACCTCATAAATATTAATACAATGATAATGATATAACAAATAGAAGCAATTTTGTTTATAGAGTTTCTGATGACAAAAATATGACTAGTTTTTTTCATAAAAGTTGCTACGTAATAAACAATCTCAAAACCCTAACTCTTTTCAAATTTCATCTTCCCCGACCTATGCCCAGCTTCCTAGCCTCACAAGTCACTACGCAGCTGCTGCTCCGCTGCCACCACTTACCACTGCCTAATGAAATCCAAAAAACTCCAGACAAGTCACTGGAAAAATCACTGGGATTTTACGCATTATGGTGTCACTGGTTGTGTCACCATTGATATCAAAGAAAGTCACATATTAAAATCACTGGCAGTGACATAAAAAGTAGCCACAATTTTGTCCATGAGTATTACTAGTTTATCAAAATTGGAGTAAAACCCCCATAATGATACACAGGAATAGGGTCCCAGAATGGGTTAATAAGGGTAAAAGGATGTAGGGTATATTGAGAAAATTTTAGCATTGTCCGTGATACAAATAAGGAAATTAAGAAGAGCATGATATGTAGAAAGGCTGACATTTTAGAAGGCATACCTGTGTCGTAACCATATGAGACCCACTGTCTCTCTTTTCCCTTACTGTTCATTGGTAAATTACTGATCAACCCATTGGAGCTAGGATGAAGAGAACTCCACATCATTTCCCGTGATGATGAGGCTAAAAGCACGGGATTTAGTTGTCTAGAACTACTGACATTTGGGCTTTTAGATTCTGTGGGATTATTAGAGCTGTGACCAAGAAAGTCAACCGCAGAAGCAGTGGTGGCTTCCTCAAACTGGGCAGGTTCGTTCAGATCCGCTAACCCAAACACATTCCTTAAACATGAATTGGACATTCTTGAAGCATCTTTCCGGGAACCGCTAATTTCACCACCACCACGACCAAGAATCAATTTGACACTACTATCATGTAACTGTTGATCATCGTCTGTATCTATGTATTGATCAGCCGGCAGTTGAAGATCAAACAACTTCTTACGCACTTTTGATGGCCTACCCTCCAGTTCTTCTTCTTCAACGATTCTCGAGGAAAACCCGTTTTGTAATTGAACATTGTTATTTCCCTTTACATAACTTGAGGGGGAATTCATCATCTCAGTACTACACGTAGATACTCTAGCATAATAATTAGAATGTGCCAAGGGTAAACTGGTCATGTGCCACTTCCGCGCGTCTTCTGATGGAAATTGAGATCCTCTGATGCTGGACGAAGATGATGGCTCCACAGACATCCGGTTTGGTTCCTTCCTTTTAACTTCTTGCATCATGTCCCTTTGGATTCTGTAAAGGCGGTGTAGTTCTATAACCTAGAAGCAAAAGTTATATATAATAGCTTATTCAGATCATATAACACAAACTGGAAAAAAAAAACGTGTGTGGGTTTTTCTCGTCATTAAAAAAACTCAAAGCAATTATGGGCGTGTGTGTACCTGATTCTTGAAGATAGCCTCATGTTCAAGCATTTTCTGCTTAACTGCATCCTTGTCATACCCAGGATATGCATCCATTACACTCCGAGACAAGAAAACATTGTTACAATATTGCCCATTTGTTAAGGACCTGTCTCCGTAAGAATGGGGCCAATTGCTACTGCTAGCATCCTCACTAAAGTTCTTCATGTCACTACGTCCAGAAGAAGCATAGTCTTTGCGGTCCACTTGGGCTCCCATCCCTCCATACCAATAACAGAAATCAAAATAGAATTAATTGTTATGACCTGACTCCAAAGAGTAAAAACTTTAAATTTGCAAATTTCCCTATACCTACAAATTAGCTTCCTTCAATTAATAAAGCTACATCCTTTTACAACCAAAACAAGAGGTAGACAGTTAAAGGAAATACAGTCTATATGATGCTCTCAAAGGGCCATTTTTGTAAGTGAAGGGTAAAGAAAAGGGTAAGAATGATACAGCATTTCATCCTGTAGGTAGACAGGAATAAAGATTTGAGTAGGATAGAGCATGTTTCTCAACATATAACCCTTATAAGGTTTCCTCTCTGACCCAAATAATAAACATCATCATCCGAAAAGGAAGCAAACATTCTAAAATTTGAAATCCACTATTTAATGTGTCTAGTTGAGTAAAAGAGAAAGATTCTTTTCTTAGAATAGAGATAGCTAACTTCATCACACGTTTCAAGTCGCTTGAGGTGAAGAGGGTGTTGTAAATTTATCCCAACCTCTTGAAATGATGACATCTATACTGGCATTGTTTATTTTTACCCTATCGAATCAACACATACTAGGGTTACTGCATTGTGCCACACTTAAAAGATAGACTGTTTATGGGCAAATAAGGGATTTTTTAGTAGATGCTACGAAAGTTTAAATGTTCAGAAAAAAAAGAAACATGCAATTGAACACCCCCGCTGAAAAACGACAAAGATTTAATAGCACAATGGGTTGCTCTCTCGAGAAAGGAAAACACACCTGCCTTTCTCTTAACCAAAAAAAAAAATCCAAAGAAACTAATAATGTGTTGTGGTTCAAGTGCGTGAATTTCACACAATGAGTGGTCGATGGTTTGGTGGCCATCAGCAGCACTAAATGGCCTCACTCATCTGTGGAGAAAAAAAAACCTTTTTTTTGCATTTTGCTTAAATAGGTAGAACACGATTAATGGTTTTTGCTAAATTACAAAATAAGATACGCAAACAAGAACTAATGACATATTCTCATTGGATGTTGACCACAACAAAACTGATGCACAGTTTTATCAGCTAACATTCAATGATAAGAATTTAACCAGAGACAGCAATCATTTGTATCCCTCTCACAAAATTCTCTTTAAAAGAATTTAGTGAGGGACAGCAGTCGTATTGTAGACAGAAAATGAAATCATAAAATCATCAGCAACGTTCTCTTTAATAAGATGAACAACTTTCCATCCAACCTAATTTCACTATCCAAACCCTAACATTAAAGTTTAAGCCCACTTTATGGCGACTAGCATGATTTTTTAAGATATGTACTCATTGTTTTGAGCTTTTGATTTGCGGGGGTGTGGGGGAAAGGGGACAATCAAAATTTCATGAACAAATAATTGCTTTTCTATACTAATATTAAATATCTGCAAACCTATCAAGAACAATGTGTCATTCTCAAAACATTGCATCCATTATTTAAATCTATTTATCTGGTACAAGGATGGAAATCAACCTTGCTTCAACAAAGCACATTTTCATTTTCAGAAAACATCTATTGTTCCCACCAAAGAAGATCCAAAAAACAGACTACCAATTGTACGAACTAAGATTACAACTATTAACTAGCAATTCAACCTATTCCCCCACAGTCACCACAGAACTAAAAGACTCATATTAGCCGAAACGGAAAATTAAACACCAACAGGCCACCTTAACAGTTTCAGTGAGAACTAAGTAGATAGAGGTCCAAACAACATGAGCAGAAAATCCATTAATTCTTTCTCTTTTGCTTACTTTAAAAAAAGAAATTCTAAACGACTAGTGCAGCCAAGGAAAGATGCAAATTTGAAATCATTACAAGGAGTGGGTTTACACTCGCAGAAACTAAAAGGATCTAAAGTAGTGAGATCACTAGTGAAATCTGCAAATATGTACATTAAATCAAATAAGCAGCATACAGAACATGAAAAGCATTTCATAATTATAAAGATTAATAATGACAAGAACATTAATTACAATACCCTAAAAAGGCATAATTTGAAAACATGTAACACCAAAATTATTATTAATTAATTCTTAAACCCAATTATATGCTCTGCTCCCTAACTGATGGAATAAAATAAAAGGCAAATTCAAACCTAACTGATAAACCATCGTAATTCCTAAAACGATCAATCAAGAATGAACAATTCTTTTATACCTTAGCCCCACATCTCTGAACCATGTCTCTTCACGAGCTTTTCAAGATTGAATCTTTTTTGTTCATTGAACTAAAGCAACTAAAAACAAGAGGAGAATTGAGAACAATAGACTGGCACCAGCGAGGCCAGACAGAGAAGAAAGAAAAGGGCAATCTTGACGAGGAGAAAAAAGGGAAAACAATTATTAAGGAATAAATACTAGGAAACAGGAAAGGGTGTGGTTTGGTATAACCATTGAAGAAGCTCAGATCCTCATGTAACTGAAGAAATGAATGGAGATTTCGATCTGCTGGGGCCACACACACTCTTCCCCTTCTCTCTATCTATCTAAAGCTCTTTACTTTTAGACAGAGAAAGAGAATTAAAAGAAGAGAGCTCGTAAGAAGTGTGTGTGGGTGTTAGTATATTTTTTTTGTTTTTCTAGAGAGAGAAAGAGAAGGCAGAGATCCCAGATAAGAAATCTTTCACACAAACAAACGACCTTCTAAGAACAGTGACATGATTTTTGTCAACATCCGGTCTCCTTTTTTATTCCATGCTCCCCACCCCCTCCGGTTTTTTATTTTTTTATTTTCGGAACTATTATTATTATTATTTTGTTCCCTGTGGCTTTTGTGGGAAAATGCTACTATGTACTTCCTGCTCAATTTTTTTGCATTAAATTTATATCATGACTTCCTTCGTCTCAGTTCAAAGTTTCCAGAGTAATTTATGATTATTAATCGATGACAAAGTTAATTCTTCATTGATAATATATGCTCATACAAAAAGAGATTTTTTTTGAAATATGAGTAAAAAGATTTTGAAATTTCAAATTATAAATATTGTGTTTTTATTTTCTAAATAAAAGTAATTACTGTAAAAGTTCAAAATACTCTCATGCTTAAATCTTGTTAATGTCAATAACTACCAAAACATGACAGCAACTACTCATATTTAACTAATAAATAAAAATATAATCCGTAGCAACTACTCCTATTTAATCATGTTTTGAAATTTACAAACATTTTTATTTCTATTTAAGGAAATTCCTTTAAAAAAAGAAATTTCCTGTTAATATATATACATCATTGTTAATAACTAAAATTTAAATATTTAAAAATTATATTTGGAGTTCTATGAATTGTAAATCAAAGTTTTTAATGTAACTTATGTAAGTTCCATTTTTCAATCATATCATCAAAAATCACATATAAAACTTAAATGAGAAAAATACATATTGTATTATATTAGAAATTAATATTAGACTAATTAAATTGACTACTTAAATTATGTAAAATGTGACTTAAGAGCCTCAGAGGGAATAGCATTTTGTTCCAATAATCATGATACTTACCAACGCAATTACGCATCACGCATGACTTTGCAGACTCTTACATAAAGTCCTTGCAATAATAAATATTTTTTCTTAAAGGAGATTTCAAGTACTCTCAATAACAAACATTTTCTCTTAAATAAGATTGAGTTAATTATCAAAATAGGACTAAAAGTCATTCACTTTTCACAAATAGGACCAAAAAATAAACTATGTTTGCATAGGACTAATTATGTGTACCTTGGACAATTATACCCTTATAGCTATTAAAATGTTTTAATTCCTAATAAAATAATAAAAAATAATAATAATTCGTAAAAAATACTAAAAAATTAAGAAAAACAATTCGATACTAAAAATTTAATTTTTTTTTCAAAAAATTAAAAAAATTAAAAAAAAAAACTCAAAAAAAAAAATCGTCGCCGCCTCTGCTGCCTCAGCACCACCACCTCCAGTCACCAGGGGGGAAAATGTCAAGTTCATTACGAATGCCATATTTATGGCAGAAAAAAATGAAAATGTTGGCATTCGAAAAGAGAAATATGCCACTTTTTTGGCATTTTCAGAAAAAAAATGGCATTTTTCTGGGAAAATGGCATTTTTTTCATCGGCCGGAGGTGGTGGTGCTGGGAGGTAGTACAGGCGGTGGGAAAGGCATCCATATTTTTTTAAATTTTTTTTACGGAGTTTTACTATTTTTTATTAATTTTTTTAAAAATAAAATTATTTTTAAAAAAAAAAGTTTTTGAATTTTTTATTTTATAAAAATTTTATAAATTTTTTAATTATATTTCTACGAATTTTTGAAATTTTTTCGAATTTATTATGAATTAAACATTTAATTATGGCTTTTGACTATTTTTAATTCATATTTAATGGAAGGGTAAGAATGGAATGCAAAAATAGGTATGTTTCCAATAGGACTCATATGGTCCTATTTTGGAATAAAAATATAACAAGTCCTATTTTAGGTTTTTGCCATAGTTTTTGTCCTATTTGAACTAATTTCTAAATAAGATTTCAAGTTACGGAGATAACAGTCAGCCGTATTAATGAAGCTAATCTTTTAAATTTTCATTTTGAAGAAGGATTTATTTATGGTAGGGGTAAATCATCATCAATAAAATGGTACAAATATTCTAAACATAACATACTTCCCAAAAATATTTGTCATTTTCAAAACTTTGACCAACTATATCTTTTTATTGAAAATTATTTATAATATAAAAATTATATGAAAATGTTCTTTGTTAAAAATACTTTCATAAAAGTATAAAATTTATAATTTTAATAATATTATACTAATCAAAATCAATGTTCAAATTTTTTGAAATGATAAAGTGTTTTGGGACGGATGTAGTATTAATTAATGACCTTTTTCAGTTTTTTCAGTTACAAATTAGTAACAATACAATTATTAATAATTATTACTATACTTGTATAAAAAGGGTTGTGGCTCCTAAAAAATGAATTGGCATTAATATTACTTAAACTGTTCTTAAGTTAATAAATTTTAACATGACTATACTTGACTAGTTCAGTCATTTCAAAAATACATTACATATAATGATATTTAGGTATATTAGTTCACATGTGAGTTCTTTGAAATCATTAAGTTTTCCTAGTGGACCTTTCAGAGTTTTTTATTTCTAGAAAGTCAATTTAGTTATCATTCAACATTGATTCAGTTCTTAACTTTATCGTCTGTTTTGCTACGGTACATTTCATCAAGATTACAACTTTATCGTCTCTTTAGCTCTTTTACACTGTTATAAAGAAGATGAAATTATTCAAAAAACAAAATAAGATTTATACTGTTATGAAGAATATGAAACTGTTCAAAAAAGGAGAAAAACGCAGTTATTCGAAATATAGGTAAAGTTTATAACGGCTGCAGCCTGTAATCGTCACTTTTAATTGTGCAAGCTTTTTGACCATTACATAAAAATAAAAAGGAATGCCTGTAATCATCAATTTTAATGGTGCAAACATATCGAGCATTGACCATTACATAAAATTTAAAAGGAATTTATCAACCCAAAATTTGATATGATAAATAAATTATAATCCGGAACCCAAAATGAAGTCACTTATAAAATACCTCCGGTAGGCAGGGATTTTGACTCGGATAAATTCCCTGTCAAATTTGTCTCGACATTTGGCTCGGTATACCAAAATAGGAAAAATGGGCAAATAAGCCCACGTACTAACCAAAAAAGGTCAAATAAACCTTTATATAGGAGGCTATGTCCGGCCGTCGTCATTTGAGGCGGTTCCCCGGTGGAAAGTTTTTATGCAATTTTTTTAACATATTATTCATTAAGTCTAGTTTACTCATACCAAATTTCAGCTAAAATTTCAATCGGGAAGACATTCAAATGAATTCTTGAAGATAACTGCGCAGTTAAAAGCGCAGTTATCTTCAAGAATTTATTTTAATGCCTTCCCCATTGAATTGTTAGCTGAAATTTGGTATGAGTACATTAGACTTAATAAATAAGATTCTCAAAAACATTCATCAAAAAATTCCACTGGGAACTGCCCCAAATGGCGACGGTCGGACAGAACCTCTTATATAAGGGCTTATTTGATCTTTTTTTGTTAGTATGTGGGCTTATTTGCCCCATTTTCCACCAAAGTATATAGACCGTATACTTTTTGGCACGGATAAATCCGTTTCTAGAGTTTGTCTCGGAAGTGCGGAGTCAAAACACGATCCAAAACCGGGGAAAACCCAAATTTTTGCCTTCTACACAATTTGATCCAAATTCCGTTCCAATTTGGCATGGATATGTATCTGATCCAACACCGATTTCGGACTTTCAGTGTTTGACTCAAACATATCCGAGCCAACACAATCCCAACCTAATTCTGTTTCAACTGGAACATCTTTTTCCGTGCCAACAAGAACATGTTGCATAGATGAGGATCAATGCCAATATCCGAGACAACAATTTTGAGCCAAATTCTGTGCCATAATTTTGAATACAATTTTTTAAAGCTTTTGACTCAAACGGGCTGTCCGTGCCAAAAGATGACCGTAACGCAAAATCTATATCTAATTCCGAGCCAAGAAGTGACTGATTTTCAAACGGTTTAGTCGAACAAATTAATACGGTCCAAAATCCGTGCCAAAATATGACCGTTTGGTTTCCAATTATAGTTTTCTTGCCAAAATCTGATCCAAATAACACTATAAATCCTTGCACATTCCTAAGCAAAAAACATCTTCGTTTATGTATACATCTACACATGAGCTATTCTAAGTGATGAGTTTTGGAAACAAAGGAATGTGGTCTCATTATGTGTTTGCTACGTGGAATATTTATATTTGGATTTCTTAGAAGAATTATGTTTTGGCTATAAGGTATGTAATTTTATTCGCTTTATTAATCAATTTAAATAGATCAATACATATTTCACGTCTTGAATTATAATTATTGTCATTATTTGTCTTATACCAATAAAATATCGTGTGATAAGTTTTAAAAACTTACTTACTAGCATGTACTTTTAATGAGAATAAATAAATATTTTTTAATTTATTTTACATATTCACGACCAATGAATAGAGAAAGTAGAAGTTGAATGTATAGGCGATATAAATAAAATGGTAGAGGATCGACTAAAGAGTTTACTGATGGAGTTGCTGAATTTATTAGTTTTGCACAAAGGCAAACAGGATACACGGATGGAAATAAAATAAGATGTCCGTGTATGTTGGGCTATGAAAATAAAGGCTTGTCCGACCCATTTTGAAAGAATAATAGCTAACCCAGCTTGATTCGGCCCAAGAGAAGTGGTGGTCTAATAGGATAAGAGTCAACATAAACTGGATAAGTGAGAGGAAGAAGTCAGTTCACGATTCGCAGGAAAATAGGAGTGGCAACTAATTCGCTGGACGGTTGAGTCCAATGGGGAAGAGGAAGTTTAAATAGAAGCGTATGATTGTAGATGAGGACTCAATTTTTTAGATCTTTGTAATCACAACAGCATTCATATACAAATATAATTTCATTTTATCTTTACCATTTGCTAAAATTTATCTTGTGCGATATCAAGTTGGAAACGTCGACACCAAGATACCCGCAATCCAATGGACAGGCTGAATCCATCAACAAGATCATCATCGCCAACTTAAAGAAAAGACTCGAGAAAGCACAA